GTACTGGTGATAGGACCCAAGCCTTTCTCTGGCATAGGTGTACAAACTATCAATTAGAACTCAGGCAGGACGATAAAAAGAAAATGAGAGAACAATGGAAATCACTCATCGTACACAAAAAAAATCAAGTACCTCATAATCAACTTTGGAAGGACAGAGGTAACAAAATGTATTAAAGGAAGCAGAAAAAAACTGCGAATCCTATCAGGATTCTTAACAGGTCACTGCAGACTAAATGGACATCTGAAGAAGATTGGCATAACTCAACACGGCACATGCAGATTCCGCAAAGAAGCAGAGGAGACACCAATACACCTACTAACTAACTGTGGTGCTTCGCTTCTCAGCAGGAGGAAGTTTTTGGGATACACAACGTAACCGAAGAAGAGATTCAACCACTGAAACCGGCCCTACTAATAAAGTTCCTTGATGAACTAGGACTTACCATTGTGCTTTAAGGCTTAAAGGGCGCAATATAATATGCATTCGAGTAATACGTCTATCTATTAATAATACCAACAAACGATTATTAAAATTTTGCATTATTAGTTATAATAAACAATGTTGTAGTAATAAAAATGTTTATAAGCTGTAATACATGTTTAATGTTTCATAATCCGTATTTTTCGTGGTTTGTGTGCGTTTCTAATTTTGTTTCAACACCTCTCTTTAGTTTGTAGAAAAACACTATTATAAAGTGGAAAAAAACCCCGATGCTATTGCAAGAAAAGCTAGAAGCTGCCAGGACTCAAACCTCTTGTGGAATATGAAATATTCTACCTAACTAGAATAGAGAGTAAGTTTAACACTACCTATACAAAGTACAGAACAGGTAACGGAATTAAACTGAAATAGCGTAGAATAACAATCCCTGGAACTTTCTTCTTCATAACCATCATCATCACAAGAATCGTATAAACGATTGCTAGATGAAACCAGAAAAAATGTACTAGGAACAGAATTATTTTCATACACGACCAAACTGCGGTTCCCAGCTCTTTCGCACTGTCGTTCATCATCCTAAAACTGAAAAGTGGAAAGAATGAGCGCTCGCGTTGAGCCTTAAAAGCTGCAACTGTGACCCATTCCTCACAAAAATGAACAAATGGCTTACCCACGGTTTCGCTTCGGACTATAGTCTTCATTTAATGAAGAGGCATGACTACTTACCGCAAAATCCAGAATATTATGTAACCCACATTAGGTAGTTTTGATGATTTCTTTATCAAAGTTCATTCACATTTAAACTCAAATCTTACTTTTCCCAACCAAGTACGATATGTTTTTAAAAGCTCTGAAACTAATTGTAACATATAAATATAACACCAAAACGTTTTTAGCATATAAATAGTTTCAGCGCTGTACTCATATAGACATGTTTAAGCAGACCATGTTCCAAAATACGATGGATTATATTACGAAGAATCATACAGTGTTTTAAATATAAATCTAATTTTTGCAGGCAGTGTGTCACTCGATGGTATGCTGTATTTCTCAGGTTTGGGGTATCAGCGGTCCCATCTAGTCGAATCTTTTAAGCTTTTTGTTAATTTTTTGTTCGTCGATTATTTCAGATTCCGAATTTCGCACTTGACTATGTGTTATACTTAGAAACTGTCTTTTTATATGTTTTCACCTTCACACTCCACTTTTATAAACACCTACACTGCCTGATTACAGACTTCCCAAAATTACAGCGGTTCAGATAATTAATGTTAATTTACTTAAGTTTAAGGTACTCATTGCTCTAGCCCAAGATCTTAATATTAACTTTGTATTCACTTTTAACAACCATGAAGGAAGGCTCCATAAATTATCGGCTTTTGAATCGTCCATTAGTTCCAGGCATTTTGTGCGTTGTACCGTATCTCTTAGATCCAGTAGATTTCGGCTCTACAGAGAACTTGGTCGTTCAAAGGAATTTTTCGACTTGTCCAATAATAACCTAAACTTGTCCTCTCTCAGTTTAACTTGGTTCTTCAAACTTAGGTGCGAACTTATCTACCTTAATTATTCCCCTCTGTGAGATGGTATGTATCGACCCTTCTGTAATTCTTGTGCGAGGTAGGGCCTCTTACATGTTTTGGCCGGCAGTCCAATTCTTTCGGAGTTTCGGGTTCTCTTTTTGGGAACTAGTAGAGTTTTGAGAGCGCAAATTCCCAGGATCGTTCAGACCTGGTTGGCTTTGCAAAGAGTGCACTGGAGTACAGCAGAGCGCTCGGGGAACTGATTAATCGTTAATTTTATATTGAAAAGTTAATAAAAAGAAGTTTTAATTTAATTTATTTTGCTTACTTAATTGTTTATTATTATTTTTGTATGTACATATTATCTTCTATTTTAGTGATTCTCAACTGACGATTGCTTCCAGCAGACGATTTACAAATAAATGCTTCATAAGAACTGTTTTTATTTTCATTGTTGTTATACTTTCTTAAGTAAATAAAAGTATTTTCTATTTGTAAATAAAGTTCTTTTCCATTAAATCATTGATTTTTGCAATATGAATTAAACCAGCATGTTCGCAGCACATTCACAGGATCTACTATCAGAATGGTTACTTGAACCTGAAAATTTAGAATTACTACTAGAGCATTGTCACGTTCTGTTCGCTTTTTAGATCGACCTGAAATGTTGGAAATGTTGTCCTTTTTTTGAGAAAGGAGGTTTTTAATAACGAGAGGAGGACCACCGGGATAAGGTTGCAATAATGTTACAGTCGTTGGCAATAGTGGGACTAAATTGGTCTTCAAGGAAATTTGAGATCGCCTGCAAAAAAAAAACACTTAAAAATGTCAATCTGTAGACATATTAAAGGTTGTTTTGTAAGCTGTATATAGTTATATTGATTGTTAAATCAATTGCACAAGTATGTTTTTCATAATGTGAAATTAATATAGGCCATGATAAAGACCTTAAAATAGGAAGAAAGCTTGACAGCAGCAACTAAATTTACTTTCTTTTTCAAGGCCATAACCAGTTCTCGTAAGTGAAAAAGTGGTCGATGCTTCTAATACTGAAGACCTACAGAGAAATGTATTGCTGTATTACTCGTAACAATGATTTTAACACTTCTTTATGTCTGTCTTATAATTATTATGTAGTACGGACATATTTAACAGAGAATTTTGATTATTCGCACTTCGTAAAAAACTAGAAAGCTATGGAGAATGAGTTGCTAACCGTCCGCCCTACCGTATTCCCATTTTGAAATATGATCCGAGAGACATGTCGATTTCAAAGAAAATTCCCACTGGACTCGTAATTCTTGATATCTGGATGCTTCGACATCACGAGACTCCTCTGAATTCTAAGTTCAGATAAATTCTTTGCTCTCGAAATAGAAAACCGAATTTCTTGATATTATATCACCTTTTCAATAAGAAGTGTTACTCTGTCATTATTAAAAAAATACTCGTTAAATAATTATAATAAGAAGGGCCGTATATTAGCACAAATTAAACAAGCTTGAACAGACAAAATAGCGTAATAAGTTTTAAATTTGATCTCTTTAAATTATATTACAAGCTACTGAAATACTTAAGAAATTTAATTAATAACACCTCTCAGCATGAAGCATACCTGCTAATGATTACTTACAAAATGCCATTATTAAAAGTGCCTTAAGCTTTATCCAGCACTTATGCTGTAACCACGATCTATAATCCAAGTTTGCAGATGATACTACTCACTCGTTATCTGCCCAAGAAGACCTTATTTGACCGAATTTGCCGAATGGTGCAGCTAGTAGAAAGCTACTGTTTACATCAGAAGTCGGCATTAGTGTAATTAATTACCCCATTACAACTCACAAATGTAATTGTGCGATACCTCAGCCTTCATGAATACTACATCAAATACCAGATTTCACCATCGAATAAAAAAACCCTCAAAATTAAAAGGCTTATTTTGATTTGCCCAATTCGGAATTGCGTTTTCGGGTATCCGTCAATTCTTCGAACAACAATTTATATATCCAAATACAGTTTTTCATAACTACACCTACGTGGTACATTTGGAACCCATTTGAAACCCTACGCTCAAAATACGTTTGATGAAAACTTTGCCACGGGCTTTACTATAAATTATTTTAATTTTCCAACGTGTTATAATATACAAGGATAGAGCAGAGAAACAGCAGCAACAATGATTGTTTTTGTTTCATTGTATTGTAGTTATTGTTGTATTGTTGTTAGGTACTTTATAATGGTAGAAATTTATATGGGGTAGGTGAGATGTTATATTCAGTACTGACAGCTACCTAAAAGCCCAACAGTAAGCCGAGAATTTTCATCTATATAAAACACACGGACACCACGAAACCAAAATCCATTGATGATCCAACCTACAAATAGTGTACCACTAGCCAGACTTCGCCGCAAATTAAAAAAAAAAAAAAAAAAAAAAAAAAAAAAAAAAAAAAAAAAAAAAAAAAAAACCATAAGACTATTTACTTCTACGTTATGCGATAAACCGATAGTTTGGCCTTTTTTGGTCATTTTGGCCTGCTTATCCCTCGTACTGAAGATGGCGAGAAAAAACAGCCTAATTGATTAGCCTTATTTTTTGTTATGGAGCACTGTCATTTCCCTTGTTGTTCCTAATGTTCTAATCTGTTCCTACGATATGACTTTCATGTTTTTCCAGTTAGCCCGATGTATTTGATGAAACCACTTAATTACAAATAAATGAAATCAAGCCAGTCTTCATTCTGAAGACCTGAAAAAATCTAACAGTGCCTTTTAAGCTGTTTAAGTTACTCCACAACTAAGTGGAGCACAATCTTGCTTCGTGTTAAATTAGTCAATAAAATAATCAACTGTATTGAAAAAATTAACAAACTGAAATGTTCTTGGAATAGTAAAATTATGCTTAAAATTAAAAACTTAAACCGAATCTATTGCTTAAGGTTTAACTCTTATAACTAAGAATCTGGTATTTCAATGGGCTCACGATTGGAAAATCATTCCGATTTTTATTTATCAAGATTTTAAACAGACCTCGTGAAGATGCCGGTAATTTCCATTGGGGAGATGGTCGCAAGAGCACTTGTAGTCTTCGGTACAGCTGACGATATCCTCTTCAGAGTCGCTGGGACGCCTCCTCCGCGCTGCTCGAGAAGGCACACCTGGGATGGCCCCGTACCGTCCAGGCGAGACGCCTCTCTCCGGGCTGGGCAACATTTCATCTCCGACAACCTTATAGGCCCGCACCCAGTTGGGTGCGAAACAGCAGGGTTCGCCAGGACCGTAATACCTAAAAAGAAGCCAATAAAACTGATTTCTAATTAAAATATTTTGTCCAAAGTTCTGACAAGTAGACACTACCCTAAAAACAATCGCATACATTCTTGCAGTGAATTTAATATCGACAGACACCTATTGGCCCAGTATCGTTTGTGGATTAGCAAATTGCCAAAAATGTAGTTCTAACAGGCAATGAACTAAGCTTAAGTCTTTGATTCAATGGAAAAATATTTCAGGACAAAGGTATACGAAAAAGTTCAATAAGAACCATCCCAGAAACTACTAAAGCAGTTCTACTAAAGCTAGGGTAGGACTGGAATGTATCACTGCTGACCCTGAAGGCATATGTATAGCAGCAGAAAAAGCATATGCAGTTTCAGAAATAAGAAGAAACAGAAGACCATGTCCTCCGACTCAGAAGGCTTTTGCAGGCTGAGATTTCTACTGCTGGAAGAGGAATCCAATGCCTGAAGGATATTCACAAGGGAACTATTAACAAAGCTTGGATCTTGTATAAATCCTTAAAATAAATGAAGCTCTAGACGTTGGAGATTGCGCAATAGACCGGTGCACAAGGTCGACTCCTGGCAGCCTAAACCTATAGTTTATCAACCCATGACAGATGCCAAAAAACATCGTTAAGAAAGTCTCGCCTCACCAGACCTTCTGCACAAATGCCGCACAAAACTCAGGATAATTAAATTCTGCTATTGGGACATTGCAGACTCAATAGAAATTGGAGACATTGATTAATAGTAGTAGTGCCAGATAGCAGTCTGTGTTGGTTCAAGCAAGAAGAAAAGGAAACTTAAATATATAAGTATTATATGTCACTGCATGCCAAGGAAATGGTTTCTACTCACGGGCAAAAAAATTTACTGAGGACCCGCTATTAAGGCTATGGAAACTGATAAAAAGCCAAAAGCTAGAAGTGAGCTATAAGAGCTATAGCCTATAGGTGGCCTATAGTCCGATTTCGATGGCAGCAGCTTTATAAGCTATCTCATATATACCTATATACCTACCTACTTCGAAATGAAATATGTACGCTGTATAATAAAAATCGCTGAACCTAGTAAAAGATTTGGAAATAATTGAAAAACACGAAATTTATAAAATATTATGTAACAAGTTAATAGATAGATCATCCCTTATTGATTAAGGAACCTAATAATATACTGAAAATAATATTAACGCTACTTTAAATTATTACTAGATTTAAAACTAATAAGAAACATTATTTTGTCGAAAATAATTTAGGTTTATGTCATATTTGCTTAAAAATTTAATAATCCAATTACCTCAGATGCTCAGCGTGTCGGTACTCAAGATGATGATGGTAATGTCCAGAGTGGTATTGCCCTGAAGGCATGAGGATGTTCTGGTCATCGCGGTAGTGTCGGTCAATGGCAAGTTCGGACTCTCCTGAGAGCCGGCCCTGGAACTGTTTATGGTTCCCCTCACCCGGTGGGAGTGATGCGATAAAACTCGTATCGGCCAAATGACGATCCGGGTTCCTGTGCATCTGCATCAGATCCTAAACGAAAACAAAGAAAACACTAAACACTAACACGAAATGATTGTAGCAACTAACGTGTAATAGTCTAGTAGAATATAAAATATATGTGCCTGTGTTGATTATTTCGTACAATGTATAATAGTCTAATTTTGTTTCGGAAATATGAATAAGATTTCATTAAAACATAAACTTTATGACTTATGTACATAGTGGCTTTATCTGTCTGTAAATATCGTAGCTTTTAACCTCGTTTAACAATTAAGTTGTCCAACCAACAAAGCTTGTTAAAGGCAAAATGTTAAAGTTGATTCTTTAAAGGTCTTAAAGGTCAAAGCTGACCTTCTCGACGATTCAAATGATTAAGGCTTTGTCAAACGAACCAATTTAAAGAAAGATGTGGCTCTGAGTTCGAAAATTAAAATTTACGTTTTAGATCAAAGAAACGACCAAAATTAAAATTTAAACATTTACTTTTTATCTGACTTTATTTTATACTTGTCTGATAACAAGCTCACACGACCAACGGTGACTTCGCAGGCTAGAGGGATTTGATAAAATAGCTTGGTCCTTTCCATGAATTTTGGTTTGGCTATTCTTGCTGTTTGGTTTTGACAGACGCGTTTTCGCTTTGCACCGTGATAAAGGGCAGTAAAACCGAGTAGAATCAGGCCCCAAAAATGTAAACTATCAAGCTGTAGGTAATCACACAGAGGACTTAAGAAATCGTACAATTAACGTCAGTAATAGGGTTAGGACAAAAAAAGACAAATTTTGTTGGAAGAAGTTGATGAGAAAATAATTGTGGAGGAAGATTATTGACTAAGCAAACCTTTACAAAAGTAAAGGACATAGGTCAGAAAACAAGAGCACAGATGTGGGAAGCGATGATTTAATAGTTCATAGCTATTTACATAAAATTTTGGGTTTGCTTGCAAATTTATAACTGGATTAAAATTTATTAAAATAACGGACTTGGTTAAAGTAATAGTGTTGTTCCCAAGCAGAAATTATGACGGAAGGGAACTATTTATGAGCAAATACACAGTACACTCAGCACTAGTTTGGTCTGTAGATCATTAACTAGTCTGCTATTGTAAATTTAGAAAATTCTCCGTCTTTGGCTTAAGTTTTACGTGGTATTTTATTAAAACAAAACTGTTCACAAAACAATCACAAAGAAAACAAGTCTGATTGAGAAAGAAAAAAAAAGAGGTCGATGCAGTTGAAATTCTGAATATTTCATCAAACGATATCCAACAAGGCACTTTTAGACAAGTTACCTACTGCATTTTTACTTATCTTTGGCATTTTTAAACAAAAATCAATTAATCGTTATTAATCAGAAACAAGAATTAATTTACAAAAGTTATTCTACTTGAACAAGTTGACCTATATAAAACAAGAAATCAAAGAAGAATCAGGAACATACATGTACAACAGTGTCTATAATACCATAAATGTTTGAATGAATTGGTTGTTTGATTTAAACAAGAATGTATGCGAAAAGTAAGAGGCAAAGATTAAGTATGGATAACAAAGGAAGATAGTGACGTGTGTCGAACACAACTTTTTCCGTTGCTCTGTTAAAATTCCATTGCTAAATGGAGAATAGCTCTTGAATCATTAATATACTGCATAGGGTAGACTTACGAAAGTAAAACGTGCAAAGTTGAAGAATTAAGATTCAAAACTGAATCCATCATCATCTTATCGATGTAAGGCACGCACAATTTTGTGGAGGAAAAGCGGTGTGAATTCTGAGAAGAAACGAGATGAACGGAGAAGGAGAAACCTCGTGGACCAATCACGAGCCGGATCGATCCTTCTTCTCGGTAGCGATGTAAAAAACAAATATTTTGTTTTCACTTCGACGTCTGGGTAAACCACCGTGCCGAGGTATCTTTCGTCATGTGGGAGTCTGTACACACTGGTTATACATTGATATGACATCTAAGAAGCATGGCTAAACCGCGTCCTCTAGGTACCATGGGATGATACCTTGGGCTTGTCCTTAAATATTGACAATCGAGGGTTCAGCGATCGATTCTTACGAGACGAACTTCACTAAACAGCCTTGACAAATGTAAACTCATTTAACGCTATAGTAAAAGGACTATATACTATTTTCATAGTTTTTATTAGTTTCATTTTCTTCCTCCACAATCAAATCATTTATTGTAAGAATTGAGAATGCTATGAAATGAATAGTTTGCCATTTATACTAAACAAATAAACTTTTAAGCTGTAAATTTCTAGCTGTCGACATTGTCTTTGCGATCATGAATTATAGCTTCACCACCCATTTGCCTACCGAATTCCCGCTTGATTTTGTATGTCGGACACGTATTGGCTTCGTGTTTAGAGCATAATACGAGCAACGGGACATACCAATCGCTGAAAATTGTGAAATGCTCAAATCCGTCGAACCGATAAAGATAATCCGACCAAGTCCCGACTATCAAATATTACATAGTTTACCATGTTATTTATTTTACATTCACGGAGCTCAGAAACACCGTGATATTCGTTAATCTTAATTGATTCTTTGTGAGATTTCTATCGGGTGATGAACATGCAGTTCGGTCGTTTCCGGTCATTCTGGTCCGCCTACGTACTAATTGTTGACGTTATTGTTTACCCTAATCTGCTCACAACTCTGACTAATAAACGCTTGTTAATGCTTGAATTTAACTGGTGAGATATCCACGTGTGTGTAATAATTTGCTACATGTTTGGTCTCTTTTGACGCATTTCTTGAAAATTTACAATGGCAGGATTGTTTTTTTCCCTCACCCTATTAATATCCTGGGTCAACCCTTTACCAGCCTGACATTAATTTATAAACTATTCCGTTTTTACACGTTGATCTGGCTAGATAGAGAAATATATAGAAAACCACTTTATTTAAAATAAAGAACTACAAAATAATGCACATTTACAATGTTTTAAACTACATGGGAGATTATCTGTCTGATGGTAGTTGGTTATGATTAAAACTATTTTAACTATCAGACGTACAAAATTGGGCACTGAATGCAAATAAAGCAATTAGCTAAACTTTTTTTGAGGGGGGTTGATTGAATACAATTCTTCCTCCACTGTGACCTAAACAGATCTATTGTGAAAGAACGAAACATTACTTAACTCGTACCTATTTTGCGAGGCACCTGAAAAGCGTCTATTTCGAATGTGGGACACGGAGGAAAAAAATAAAAATATGCTCCTTTGCTCTTAGCTTACAGAGGAAAAATAAGGAATTTTCATCTTTTTCTTTCCATGTCCCAAAATTTAAAAACACTTGATCACAATTAAGTTTAAACACCCATCGTAGAGCAGGGTGTTTTAGAGAGCTAGCTTCATGAAAATTGGAGTTAAAAACTGGTCTGGCTATACTCGTTTCTTAGATCTGCGAGACGCATTTCGTACCATCTTGAGTGGTTAAGGTTATCAACAGGTGAGTTATAAAACGAACCATTGATGATGGCGATGTCCAAACGTGTCCTAGAAACTTTTTTGGGTAAACAAATCAGTTATTTATTAAACTGCCAATAAGCAAATAATAATTATAATACAAAAGACAGACACACAAAATTGCATGCCACAGACCAGATCATTTTAGACCATGACAAAAACACAACATTCCATAATAGAAAATTGACAAAGAAAAAACCCAGACCAAAATTTACCTAAGACACGGGTAGAAAAATAACTATATAGCTATAATAAAAATAGCTATAAAATAAATAGCTTATGAGGAGAAATTACCAGTGAGTACAGTTCTTTAAACCAAATAGAGCACATAAAGTAAGGTATTACCTTTTAAAGTAATAATACCTCTGATGTTAATGTCAATCAATAAAAATAATAAATCCTTGATAGTATGTAATTCATGTTTAACAGACTGCAGAGTAAGATGTGTTCCACCTCAAACGAAAGCAAAGAGAAGGAGTTTTTTATCTAAAAGAAAAATGGAAAGGAAACAAAAAAGAGAACTAAATGCTATCCTCCTAGGGGAGTTTTATTAATAATAAAAACTTTAAAAACTATTTACATTGAGTGTACCAAAATTCCTTACCATCATTACACTTTTGTTAATCTTCCCAATCACCAAATAAACAGAAATAATATTTTATGAACTTACTGGCTCTTTGCGAAAATATTGTGATACTGATTTTAAGACAGATCCGACCTATGTGCCGTATCGCACACACCTGGCTTGTACAGACTTTTCAGTACATCATATACCACGGCGTCACTGGAGGCGGGCAGTCAACCACGTCCGTGTCCCTCCTAATGTGAACAGCTAGATAGCCCAGGGTTATAAGCAGGGCGTGTTCTATCGTAGAGAAACACCAAATCCACCACTGCATCTGATAGATCAAACCAGCGAGAAACGGCATCATGAGCGGAAACCACAAAACTACTCAACACCAATTTTTGATATTTAAATTGCACAAGGGGCATTATGTAAGTGACACTATTTTATAACGAATCTTGTACGGAAACTCATTGAAGTCTCAATATCCATAAAAAATTCAAATCATAATCAAAAGTGTTCACGACCCACTTAGCTATAAAGCTTTCTTTCGATAATCCCTTCAATTTTAGGAAATTTATGGGACAGTTTATGCATCATCCCATCGGGTCGCAAGGTAAAGAAAACGCACTAAATAAGTCAGCAATATAAATCCTGTACCCAAAATTCTTTGTAGATCAATACTGCAAATAAACACCTAATCGAATACATCTACAACAAATTTTTTAATAAACCCAAACATGATATTCTGTATTAAACGGTATTTTGCCTCTCTTCATCCTCCAACAATTTATAAATTATATGATTTAAATAGAATGTCATCATTCAACATGACCTTTTCAATTAGAAATATTTTGTAAAATGTCAGTTGTTATTTTATCTAAACTTGCTGCTAACAAGGTTAATACATTCTATTTGATGAGGGTCGCGGGTCGCTTTGCAAAGGGGTTTCTCAAATGATGTCATTTTGCTTATTTATTCA